GGGTAATGAAGAAAAACTTTAATATAACAGCAAATGTACAACGTTTCGACAAGGTTTTGTCATCATCAGGTACGTTTTACATTTGCTGTTATATTAAAGTTTTTCTTCATTACCCATTCAAGCCGTCTCCAGCCATTATTAGCATAAGAATATGTTTAACCCATAAAGCCAAACTAATGAAACATGTGTATAAAGTGAAACAGTAAGATTGTATGTAAAGTTATTGCATAATGTTTAGATATGTTATTATGAAGAATCCTTCCATTTCATAAAAAAATACAGATAATAGTTTTACATGAAATTAAATATAGATGTTGACGATATGTTAAAACACGTTGACCTACATCTCCGTCTGGTTGTTCGCTCGCGAACTATCTGCGCGATCATCATACTAATGCGCCCTCTGGTGCCGCTCTGGTGGGCCTTACCAACATACCCTCTAGGGCTACCTGGATTCTATTACATAACAGCTATGTAACCTTCAGGTGTATATATTACGTAATAGTTATGTAATCCTCAGGAGACATCCTTTGGGCTCCAGGTTCTCGGGGTAACTACTTACATGTACATCACCTGCCATGTGTCTTATGATAAGTAATGATGTCCTGTATCTTGATGTATATGTGATGTACCTGCAATGAATATTTACGTACTGCTTTTGTATGTTTGCTAATGTGATGATTCTAAAGTTATCATGATGTATTTAATATTATTTCACATAAATAGCTATGACATAATATATCTACACGCCTATGTGTGTTTACTTGATTTCTGAATCCCTCACACAATTTTTCATAAGAGAACTTGAAATTTTGCAATTTTAGCTTTTGAGCATAAACAAAGAAAAAGTCGAAAGGGATTTGAAGTAGCCCCAAAATGGGATATTAAGGTTAGGGGGGGGGTTGGTAGATTAGGCAGAAATAATTTTCTTTTGGAAATCAGCTTGGACATGTAAGAAACAGTTCAAAACATAACAATAATCTGTATTCAAATTTTAGAAATTTTAAAATTTGAACCTCCCATTTAGGGGCAGTGTAGTTTCGGGGAGTATCTGAAATGGATCAATGCAGATTTACAAATAAAAAATAAAAAAATTGGCATGGGTATGTAATGAGTTGTGAGAAATAAGTTCTTACGCTTAGATTTCGATAATGGGGCCTCCATATAGAGGACGAAGGAGGTTTTCGAGAACTCGGAAGTGGCTGCACGGATTTACTTGAAAAATTATAAAAAAGTGTAAATAGTTGTTCAAAGAAAAGTCTGTAAAATTTTTATGGTTATATTTATCTGTCTGTTCTATCTATATACGTAAATAAATTGTAGAATGAAGTAGTAAAACTTTTGTTTATGTAGATGTGATACGTAAGTAAAAGTTCGTTGTTCATGCATCTTTTAAGTTATATATATTTTTAATAATTTATGCACGGGATTAGTTTTATAGGCTCAATATAGCTAGCAGTAAACCTTTGATTTTTTTATTTTTAAGATTATAAATGCTGATATTTTTCTTTAGCTTGGTTTGTTTGTAATTAAGCACAAAGTTACACGGTTACACATGACAAGAAAGCTTTCGATACCTGCGGTGGGCAGAGCACAGATAGCCCATTGTCTTAAAATCTGTATTTATTTATCAGTGGGCATGTTATTGACCAATATAAACATAAAATCGAACATGATGTCAAAGAAAAATAATATATTATACATGTTAATTTTCATAAGAGCCAGATCTGTCAACGCACCAGAATGTTACATTTATGGGGTTTATGAATGAAAAGTTGTTTTGAGTTGAGATCTAAATATCCGGATTTTTATATTTTAACTTACACTAAGTGACAGAAGACAGTTCACAAATGGTTTTTATTCAAATGTTTTAATACATGTAAAATGTTGACCTTTGGAGTTTGATAAAACAACAACAAAAAGACCAAAGTAATTGGTTTAATGCCTATGATTAGAATTTTTCAGTAAAAGTTTATTACAAAATATGACAATAATCTCCAAATGAAAACTTCGGTTTATTGTTCAACATTTTATATCTAGAATAGACATTAACATATATCAAAAATTTTAAATGGTTTTAACTTTAACTAAGTGACATTCTAAACGTATTATTAACAAAGCTTTGATTTACAAATACTTTATATTTTACATACTTCTAAATCTTACGCCATTAATATATGAAAAAGACATGATTAATAACATGTCTAATTAAGGTATTTAACACAAGTTTCGTAAAAATTATGATCATTGTATGATGCTTAAGTAACGAAAAAAAAAACTTGTTAAAAACAAAAAAAACACTTGTCTTATGGAATTACTGCAGTAGAAGTTAGAATTAAAAATAACGTAACCATTGTGGGCTAACCAAACAGAAAAAGAAATGTGTTAGGTGATGCACAATCTTTGTGTCGAGTTTTATTGAATCTGTATACACACATAAAAAAATTTACTTCACAATACATCATTATATTTAAATAAACAATTTTAAATTGAAAACAAAATATCATTTATGTGGATATAAAACACAAATACACAAAAGTTGTGTGTTTATAATGCTGCAACAATCAATTGTTATAACTCACGCAAGTTTGTATTTGGAGATAACAATTTAATGTTTGTGTTAATTCAAAACACGTTTTAATTTGGTTTGCTTTGAATTTAGCGAAAAGCTACATGAGGGATATCTGCGCTAGCCATCCTCAATTTAGAAGTGATATATTAGAAGGAAGGCAACTAGTTAACACCACCCACCGCCAACTCTTGGGCTACTCTTTTACTAACGAATAATGGGATTGACTGCCACATTATATCGCTCCCATGGATGTAAGGGCGAACATGTTCGGTGACGGGAATTTTAACCCGCGAACGGCAGATTGCGAGTCAAGCGCCCTAACCACCAGTCTGTGCCAGGCCCATGGTTTTTTCTACAGTGCATATTGTATTTCATTGTGATTTTCTCTGTGTGATTAATTTTATGAAAAATATTATTCCAATTAAATCTGATTATATTCTAGTAACAAATATTGTATTGTAATACTAGTAAAACAAAGCCTTACAATGAAAGCTAGTAAGGATTTATTTTAAAATCATATTTACAAAAGTATCTTTATAAATCAGTATATAGCTATACTATTTGGTCTTCGGACTGTTTTCAAGTCCAGGCTATGTAATCAATACTTTATCGCAATCACAAAAGGAAGTTAAGGAGTGAAAAGAAAGTGAAATTACATTTCGAATTTTTTTTTTCTTTTTTGTTGATGCATAAAGAAATAATTGAATAGAATGATATATAAGATAGCTATAACTTATTCTAAGAAATTTAAATACGTTGAACGTAATGCACGTAAACAATGCAGGTTAAATGTAATGCACGTAAACTATATAAGAAATATTTTCTGTAATGCCTGGAATGAGTAGAATATTGTCCTGATATTATTTCATGGTTACAAAGTAATGTCATAAAACTTTCAAGAAGAAAACTAGAGAACCATCCGAGAATAGCCTAAGAGATGGCGGTGGTGTTGACTAGATGCCTTCCCTCTGTTCTATCACTTCTAAATTAGAGACGGCTAACGTAGATAGCCGTTGAGGAAATTAAATAAAACTTTTGCTCTAACCCACAAGTTACTGGTGGATCAGTGGTAAGTTTGAGGGCTTATAACGCTAAAAATCGGGTTGCGATACCCGCGGTGAGAAGAGCACAAATAGCTTATTGTGTAGCTTTTTATTTAACAACAAAAACGAACAGAGATTTAATAAAACCAATAAAGAAAAATATTCATCTATGTATTCCTATACATTTCGGCTTAACGTAATTGAATTTATGTTGTGGTTGAACCTTTATAGAAGCTCAACTAAGATTAAAAGTAAAACAACGACTGATAATACGTGTTTGCCTATATTATGTTTAACAACTAACTGTTCAAACTTTGTTAATAGATCCAAGTCGAATATTCTTTAAAAATCACATTGTTTATTTGTGTGCTGTGCCCACCATGGATATCGAAACTCGGTTTTTTATCGTTAAAAGTATTCAGGCTTACCGCTGTGTCACTGGGGAGGAGGAGGCAAAATAAGCTATTTATTGTTCTTTATCTCACGAAGTTACAATTTATTATGTTAAAAAAATTGGTAAGCAATACAATAGATATTGGAATGTTGTTGGTCATAATTACTTTCATAAAATATATTTTGCTTTGCATATAAAAAAGCAATCAGGTTTGGACATTTCAAGTATTTGATTGTATAGAACACAAATGACCTTTGATAATAATGTCGTCTGTTGTAATTTCCTTGAGTGGTTCTCCTGTTTCCGTGATATCAGGATTCGTTGTTGGTAACTCCACGCTAAATCCACGTTTTTCTAAAGGCGTAGTTTCTGCTGGTTCGCAAGTATTTTCAGATCTGCTTACAGGATCGTAGATGGTATACTTCACAGGCACGTCATTTGGATCTTGATTCGTCGGTTTCTGTATGTTGTGACTACACACGTTCTTAGAGTTTTCGGTGGACTGGAATTGTCCAGAAATATAAGCACAACTAAACGATGTTATGTTAAACAAATGTATAATCATTTACAGCAGCTTAAAAGTTATTTGTAAATTGACATTTCCTACTTATTGTATGCACATATACGTTAAAGTAATAGATTTTGGTTTGTTTCTTCTATTCTTTTGAAACATATTTTATTACTGGGCATTATCTCGACTAAAATGTTTACAAATGTCAAGGTAGTTATGAATAATGAAAATTAAATACAAGTTAGGACTATTCAATTTCGATATTCTTGACAATTCATATTGTTACTATAATGAATAATATCCATATTATAGTTTTAAACTGCTATAAGTTCGATAAATTTTTTCACAAATACTACTGATATGTCCATGAATTGAGCATTTAGCTATAAGGACAAATTTAGACATCACAGACTACTTAAAAAGATAAGCCAGATGATCGTGAGTTGGACTTGATGTGCAAATTTTGGTTTGTAATGAATTATTCAGTTAAACTTATTGACTTACAAAGTAAGGGTTTGAAGCACTGCTTGTTCGTATCTTTATTTCTTTCTTCAATTGCTTCCTGGTATTTCCATTGACTAAGCACAGTATTACAAAAATAGCTACACCCTGTTGAGAAAAGGGAAAAAAAAAGTAGTATTCAACAGAAGAATAAACTGAAACAGAGGCGTCGTTAGGCACTGGCACATGGGACTCGTGCCCCTATTCTATTTGACAGTGCCCCGAATCCTCAGTTAGTGTCTTGAAAAATCAGAATACAAAACCATGATCAATACCATAGTGAAACGCCGATAATGGGCCCGAGCTCCAAATCGCCTTTGAACTGAAAACATATTACAAGTCTAATTTCAAACTCAAATGAACAGTATTATATGATTTAACGAATCACGTTTATTTAAAGTAAAGAATAAATGAAGAACATCATACTAAACATATAGATATTCGCTACTTCCCTTAGTTACCGATATCTATTCTATAATTATTATTCAATATCGTTTTATGTATTTCATTCCCTGTTGACGGAACTAATTCGTCCCATAACTGCAACATCTTTGTTTGGATAAAACCCAGCATTTATGCGTGCAAACTGACGCATTGGATACTGAAAATTATGTTATTGCTTTTCTTCAAACAAACTTTTAATGTGACACCAAACTTGAAGAAAAATGCTTATTGATAAACTTTTGACTATCAGTCTTCAGTTAGTAGCTGTTTGTTTATGCATCATAATGGCCATCAGACATTTTAAAAATATATTCCATAAGTGGGAGTGCCAATTCTGATGATGAATTGTTAAAATTGATGGCGTTTCTTAAAGTGCTTTTTCAGATTTTTAACTTTTATGTATATTTATTTTAGTTTAAACCAGTAAATTCTGGTAACTATATAAACTATTTCGATGAAAAAATCTTATGTTTTAGATTTTCATTCATAAAAACAGGCAGAAACTGTCGCAAAGTGAACAAGATACAATTTCGCTAAAATTAGGTTGGGCGTGAAGACAAGAGAAAAATTACAATTTTATACTAACCATAGAGCAGTATAACACTTCTAACACAATTCATCAATTACAAAAATATTAATCAATTAGATAAATTAGTATGTTCAAGACTTAACAAGAAATATGTAAATTACAGCAAAATGTCAGATGTAATTTTACCTGTAGGGAATTAAGCACAGTGAAGATATAAGATGCCACTAGCGCCCCATCTCCAACTTGCAGAAAACCAACTAACCATGTAAGACCTAACAAAGGTGTTATAGCAAAAGACCCTCTTATCCATTTTCTAGAAAGAAACACAAAACATAATTGATTATAATAATGTTAAATATATTTATTAATAAAGTCAAGAAAAGTATCTATCTGAAAATGCACTACTGCGTAGAAATAGATATTTACTTCCGAACTTTGTAAAAACTTCGTAAAGTTCCTCTTCTCAAAAGCGTTTAGTAACGTAGCTTAAACAAAGCACAGTACCAGTCAATCCTTGTCTTTAGTACGAGGTCAATAGACAATTTTAATATCTTCAGTTTCTGCTTAAACCAAACATACGTGCACAAATACAAGTGCAGTGAACAAGGTTTCTAAATCCTACATGCACACGAATGCAAATGCACTGGACAACATTTTAAATCATACAAATCTTTTCGCCAGGCCATTAATACGTGTCCTACTTTAATCCAGTTACATAGTTCAGATTTCGTATGAATGAGAACTGAAATGAGGACTTAACAGCATATTCACAAAGTTTTGAAGAACTTTCCATGTACGTTTATAATTTCGAATTGTGAAAACACGAGTTAGCAGAGCATTGTTCCAGCAGTTTGCATTGTTTTTGTCTGTAGCGATAGGGTAAGAAGAAATGTGAAATATAACTAGTTTCCAAAGTCTGCGACTCTTTTCCTGTTGTGCATTCAAATCGACAGCAACTTATTGAACATTTCTTTCAGTGTACATGTTTATCTGAGTATCCAGAGCAAGTAGGAAGGGGTGCGTGTCTATAAATGTCAGTTCTTATGCCAAGTTACATTACAATTATTTGGTAATTTTAGTAAGACTGGTTTCATTATTTGTATTCAAAAACAATTAATTATATATACTAATTTTAGTAAAACGCAACATTACTTTTATTTTTTTAAGTACAAATTGTAAATAGTGCTATGGCAGGTAAAAAACAATGTTAGGCCTAATCTGAATCATGTCTAGCGCTCAACTACAATAATCTTCGAGTTTGATGAAATTAGTTGGATTTTTTCCCCCAAGAAAAATGTATTTACCCTTACTATAACAACTGACGCATATTACGCATGCTTATACTAATCAAATTCAGTAGTCTCAGTCAAATATATTAAACAGGGTGTTGGGATCAGGATCAACTGAAGATACATGTTTGACAGAGGCTCACGTACTCAGTTATGCCGGGAATAATTTCAGGCCCTGCATGCTTTTGTTACATCATGATGATCCTAATAACGTATGAGTGAAAGTAAAGAAGAATGGGTAAGAATATGTCAACTACATTGTATCTACTATATCCATTGCCAGCTAAGCCTTTTGCAGGCTCATCAGGCCGATTGGGATACGACAGACACAGTATGGGTTGAGACACTATTAATATTAATAAAGTTTATATTTTTAGTGCAAGCGTTGGGCTCCCTCCTTTACAAGTTCCTGTCTTTTTCCGTATAATATAGTATTCTTTATCTAAAGAAAACTTGTATACCATCTTATTGGTGGTGTATCTTAATAGCTGCTACCACTTTGTAAGTCGTTACGTCCATTTAAAACACATGTAACATTTCAAATGTTAGGGCTTTCAATAAAAGAGAAGGATTTTCTTTAGAATGAGTTTTTTAAATGCAAAACAAGAATTCTCCCGTTCCTCACAAATAATAACTTTTAGGTTTAACTATCACTCTAAGTATTCTTTCATAATTTTACGAAGAAATGTTTTACCGTATTTTATCAGCTTTGCTGTCCTTGTTGGCTATACTATTTTTTGTTATCTTCCTTAAGGCAATAACCAAAACAGTGAAGTTTGTCTGGAAAACAAACATAACAAGTTGCATATCTTCAATAAATATATCCAATAAACTGTATTGAAAATACTTTAAAAAATTATTACACTGTAATTTAAACACATAACGCTTTTTTATATTAAAGTTTGTAAATTATACATGCATTTAAATGTCAACATTGTGCGATTTTGATATACAAAATAAAACGTAAAAACAATAAAACTTATATTTTCAACTTGGTAGGTTTTTGATACAGGTTTTTATTTCTGAAACACAGAACTGCTGGGATTTGATGTATTTTCCCTCTTGCATACTTAATTAATTTTGGATCCAATCCAATCCATAAACGTTCTTTAAATCAAATTCAATGATCGGTTTCGATAAACCTGTGCAAACCAAGAATGTACGTGTTTGAAAAATAACTAAGCAGCATAACATAACTATTAAAATAATCAATTAATAAGAGTAATATGTACAGAACTGACAGAGTATATGAAATGAGGTAGACTTGAAAAAAAAGCAAACAAAACGAGTCACCTATAACAAAGGTAGCATTTTCAACCTTATTAAATAACATAATGTTCAATTATCTTCAGCATGAATATATGCGACGATCAATCATACAACAAAATATTACAGACTCTAACAAGAATGTACAAATGTTAAGTTGCCAGCTAGAAATTACAAATCAACAAATTAAACAAATAATAATAATAACGATATGCATCATGAATATAAACAATGATAATTCAAAAAGACAAATATCATAAATAATAAAGTTTGAAGACGGCTTAAATGGGTAACGAAGAAACCTTTATTACAAGTTTAATACAGTAAAAAATGTGAAACGTTTCGACAAGGTTTTGTGATCATCAGGTACCTCATATTTATTTCACTATCCATTCAAGCCATCTTGAAACTTAATTGTCTCAAAGTAGTTTCCTCGTCATCAAATATTACTAATTCTAGAAACAGCCTAAAAGTGTTAACCTGGCAGTTAGAAATTATGGTTCAATAAGTAAGCATTGCAACAGATAAATATTATACAAGGAATGGAATATTTACAATTGAAAAATAGTCAAAAAGTGTTCCAGCACAAGTAGAATCGATTTAAAGATATTGTTACGTATCTGCTCGTTTGTAAATTTCCCACAAAAAATTCTTTCCGAGAAACTTCAGCGATACAAATCCTTTCTTAATTAAAACTAGTTTATTCTTTCTCGTTACAAACTTTGTAATACACTTAATTTCTACAGTCACTTTAAACTTAACTGCTTTATTAAACACACGATATAATTCACAGCGATTCACACATTTTACTTACGGTCACTAGTGTTGCTTGACTCGATTATCTGTCTCTATATCTCCCATCTGCAATTACTTGCTGTTCTTATATACTAAAATAGAGGGCGCCTGGAAAAAACTAGAGTTGCCAGGAAAAGCCATGACCCTTCTAGAAACTCATGACGTGTAACCAACGTCAGGTGACTTCCGCTGTCGTAACAATATGAAGAAACCGAGAAACGAGTGATATATTTGAAACAAAAACTTACCAACAGGATAAAAGCTGCAGGTCCAGCAAAGCTCCAGATAACTCCATTTTCTGGGTTCAACCAGCAGCTGAAATAGGTAAGTAGTGATGTACTGAAGATTATATTTATTAAAGAACTTAAAAAAAAACAATTTTCTTGGATTTCAGATAAGCCAGATTTTTGAAACACAAAGTGATTAGTAATTATGTAGTTAATTGCATGTTTTTTTAAAGTTTTAAATCGATTTCAACAAATAATTGTAAAAGGATAAGCATGTAGTGAATAGTGTGAACGATGCTCAATATGAAAGGTATATTGTGTTTTGTTGTGTTAAATGGGATATAAATGCTGTGGCCAACATATAAGCTCTCAATAATCCAACTCGATGTTCATAATTTACTGAACGGCAAACAGATTTAGTTTATGCCGAAAACTCGAAGAATGAGTACAGCCGCTATCTAAAATATAGTTTATTAATAGTAATATCGAGGCCAGAGTAGTTAGGCGTAATCGCGTTTTGTACCACTAGCAGCGTCATCTACAATAGAATAGGAAATTATTTCCACATATTTCACAAAACAGAGCTATTGCGTAATCACTCATACTAGTGTTAGAACATGGCATGCGATGTACTGTATAGGGTGTTTGAGATGGTAATCACGATGTACTGTATAGGGTGTTTGAGATGGTAATCACGATGTACTGCAAAGGGTGTTTGAGATGGTAATCACGATGTACTGTATAGGGTGTTTGAGATGGTAATCACGATGTACTGTAAAGGGTGTTTGAGATGGTAATCACGATGTACTGCAAAGGGTGTTTGAGATGGTAGTCACGATGTACTGTAAAGGGTGTTTGAGATGGTAGTCACGATGTACTGTATAGGGTGTTTGAGATGGTAATCACGATGTACTGTATAGGGTGTTTGAGATGGTAATCACGATGTACTGTAAAGGGTGTTTGAGATGGTAATCACGATGTACTGTATAGGGTGTTTGAGATGGTAATCACGATGTACTGCAAAGGGTGTTTGAGATGGTAATCACGATGTACTGCAAAGGGTGTTTAAGATGGTAATCACGTAACTTGAGACACTGAATATTTTTAATTGTATTCAGTAACTGACTTAATTGTAATTTATTTATTTTCTTTCATTGACTATATATATAAGTATACGAGTTAGAAAAACACGTAGGTTCAAGAAGTCTTGATAGAAATGAATAAAAATCCTATAACCCGAGTGCTTTCAAAAGGTAGACCTTTCTTTTTCAGTTTGCCCTTCAAGAAGAAAGGTCCATCTTTCAAAAACGCTCGGGTTATAGGGTTTTTATTAATTTCTAAGTATACGAGTTAATATTCCTTTGTGATTGAAATATGATCAACGGCATTACGATCGAACGACGCTCTGACTGAATTAAAGGAATTTCATGTACGTGACAAATATGGTAAACTAGCTGTTCTGAGCTTTTGTTATAAAAGTGATATAGATAGAGATATTTCATTGAATGGCCTCGATTATAAAATTTCGAGACATATATTTTTATTTGCATTGTTGAATTTTTTGCTATGGAAACTTCCTGGTAAACTTCCCAAAAATACAGAATCGTTTTAATATTGTAATAACTCTACTTATAACTGTTACCGATGTAAAACCAAAATTTGTGTGTGTGAAAAAATAACCTTAAGTTGTCTACTTTCTGTAAAGATTGCTACAGGTCAAAATAACTCTCTCAAAATGGAGCTCACTTTATCCACCTATCTTCAATAGATTAGATAATCTAGCTGTGAATAATAATAATTCTTTAGCCCTTAAAAGCTTGTTACTCGTTATATGTCTAATGGTGGATCAGCAGTAAGGTTCCGAACTTACGACGATAAAATGCGGGGTTCGATTTCCTGTGGTGGACCCAGCAGACAAACCATTGCTTAGTTTTGCACTAAAAATCAAGAGTATGTATATCATAATTACATCTTGCAATGGATTCATGATGGAGAAACCGAAGTTTAATAATGAATATAAAGACGGTTGATAAAACATAAAATTTTTTATTTACAAGGTTCGAACGTTTCGGAATAACTTATTCCATCTTTAGCGAAATCTGAAAATCGTGTTACAAATATGATTATTACTAAAATTATAATATAATAAGATAATCATGAGTTTACTTAGTTATTAAGAAAAGCAGTTAGTGGACGGATGAAACAATGTTAATATATATATTACACAACAGCTGAGTTAAATGTTTTATGTTTTATCAACCGTCTTCATCTTCATTATAATTACATCTTGCTAAAAATCATCAATAAAACCTTTGTATATTGTAATTACAACTCCATCGGTACTAACAAAATAAAATATTATAAATTATGATAATAGGAAAGTCAAGCGTGTATTAATACTCTATTGTTTTGTACCCATTACCTCTGATTACAATATGTTTAAAATTTTACTGTTCTTATCATGACTTGTTAAACTGAAAGATGTAATCAAAAGAGATAATACATTCTAGCTTTATAATCATTGGCTTAGTTTATGACTACTATTTTCAGTTTTGTTCTAAACTAACTCATTAAAAGTGTTTTTTACAGTTGATACAAAACGAGCAATGATTTAGTTGATATCGTCGTCTTTTAAATATTTTTTTATAAATTGTTTAACAGCCAAATTGATTCATATAATTGTTTTATACAGGGACCCCCCGGTAACATGTGTCACACAAAAATAAAAAATACAATAACATTGTAATTAATCTCATTAATTACTTTTAGGGGTCATCTACGTATTTTACGTGGATGATTAGCGACTTTTTTCCATTGAGTGCTCATGGGTGTCCGCAGAAATTATTCCGGGGAAGGGGGGAGTAAAGTGAGATTGTGAATTCCATAAAAAATTCATATACACATGCTGAATGAATAAAGAAAGAATTATGTTTCTCATTTTACAGGGGGGCAAGTGCCCCTTCTTGCCCCCTCTGCAGACGCCCATGTGAGTGCTGCAAGAGGCTAAAAAATTAAATTCGTGAATATGTGAAGTCTCCCCCTTCTTCATCGGTAGTGAATGTATAAAAACAAGTCGGCCATCTAAAGGTAAACAGGCTTTTTACAAAAATGCAGTAAAATACCTAGTATTTCATAATTAGGTAATTAATACCAGTTAAACTATAAGATAGTAATATGTATTTATATAGCAAAGCACAATATTTTATTATTTTGTAAACATTTAAGTTTTACCTATGAAACTGTAGTGCCACACGACCAAGTTTGCACACAAAAGCGCAATTAATCTAATTAACGATTAATCTGACCGTTGAAGCGTTGAGTGGACGCTGGGCTGCCTAATTTTGTTAATCCGTATAATCAACTAACTTGAGAGTTAAAAATGATCTTACTTTGAGTGGTCACTGGGTTGCTTGATAATTAGTTTTGTAAACTCATAGTGATCGGTTAACTTAAAAAAGAGATAAAAAAATTATATTCTATTTATGCATTTTCTTTAGTTGCATGTATTTAAATGGAAGATGAGGAATGCTATTATTTCAACAAGTTTAACGACATTCATATCGTTTAGTTAAGTTTGTGAATAGAACGTGTCTAGTTTACTTACGTCTTTAAACTGAACAAAATAGCAATATAAGTTTAGATAAAAGTTCGGACTTACTGTAATTAGAATTATGGTTTGAAAACAATACATTACTAATACCCACTCTCATTCTTTTTGTAAGCAACAATGTTTCTTTATTCTGGATGGGTGCTGGTGTTTGGTAAGTGACTGATATCAGTGAAGGCGGTTAAAGTATCTTGTCTTATATGTTTTGGAATTACCTGGTAGGACATTCTAGTAATTTAGACAATAAGAATAAAAATATAGCCTGGATAGAATATTTACATAATATAAATAAAAAGGTAGTCTGGACAGAATACAATATACCATGTATACTAGGCTTCGCGAACTTGAAGTCCAAAGTCATCCCATTGAGAAGATTTGATGATACATTTGTATAACGAATGACAATCAAGTCACTATGATAAGAAACGGTTGCCTGGAATTTTTGTAAGTCGAGTCAACTAGCTAAGGCATCTTCACACATTACAACCAGGTAAGATGTGGAGAACAATCTTGTCATCGTATTGAATATGGGTCACATGACTTCCGGGGGGGCTTTCGCTCATCATATAGTAGCTCCTCTGATAACAACAAATAGAACTACCCTGACTCTCTTAGTTATATTTTTGAGATAGTCTCTTGCGACACGACAAATGATAGAGGGCTTGTATACTCGGCAGAACGTGATCCCCCAATTAATCTGTATACATGCTAGTTTATTTGGCCATGTAAGAAAAGGTCAAAATGAATATGAAAGGTAAAGAAATTGGGTAAATTATATTTTTGGTTAAAATATACTAGACTGAATTCGATTCAAAGTTGCAGTGGTAATTAAGTCATGGACAGTATTATTATCAACTGATGTAAATTTATTCAAGACTGAGTTATATTAGATTCTTCGTCTTTGAAATTCACAGATCAGTTGAGGCACACATGCGTAGATTAGAGCAGATAGTGACATTGCTTGATTACTGAGAATTCTCGTACACTAGAAGCTCATATACTCACTTATTTGTCGTTCTGTAACTTTGAGATTTGGAAACAGCTGTTATCCCCACTATTATTAACGGAATACCTGTAGAAGAGATAAAAACAATGAAATAACGTAATTATATGAGAAATTATTGGTTTTCAAAACATCACATCGGAAGTTAAGTTAAGATTAGTTAACGTTCCAGCCTTGGTCGTTAAAAACAAACAGAACTGGGTTAGTTAAACTAGCTATAATTGTTTAATACTATTTACAAACTTTGTCATTTGGACATACAAATAAAAGCATACAATAAAGTTTATGTGTTTGTTTTTGTGTTGTTAAGCACAAAACTAACGTATTAAGGATCATAATAACTGGTTCTATAATTTCTAAGCCAAGCTACTTTTCATTTTCACCTTCCTTACATATTTATTTAATAAAATCAAGCTATTTTAGAATGCTTAAAACAAGTTTTGACGTAAAGAACAAAACCCAAATAAAATATTTTACTGGTGAAAAGAGAAAAAATATCTTTGTTCAAAATCATAAAACTTATCTTATATAATTTTGAGAATGACAAGTAAATGCCTAGAGATTTCTATGACTATAACTAATTATGAAAATCATAAAAATATGAAATGCTTTTGACTTTTTTTGAAAATCTTAACAATTTCTCGAAACATCTTAAACTAAATCTAATCAGCTTTGGTTACACCAGTCAATCCACTGTAAGTAAGTATCATCATTATTAATACATTTACTACATAAATATTCGATAAATGGTGGTAGAAATAAGACTTTGTGTCACCCTACAACAATCTTCTATCTTTGAATTTACATATACAGCTCTAGTTAAGGCTTAATTTGCTTCCCGTATAACACTGTTAGATAAACAGTGCACATCTTATATACTAGGACACTTAAAGCTAGTTGATTACCCATTCTTTGCACGAACTAATTTGTTTCTCATGTTCCATTAATGTAAAAACAAATTGATAATTGTGTTTCGGATGAACGTCTGATAAGCTGAATAGTATACAATATCATCTTCGGTAGAGAAAATTGGAACACAAACATACAAGTATCGTAATAAAGACGTATGTTTTTAACGATTTTTTTTGTGTGTGTATTGCTTTATCCCGTTTACAGTTTGTCAATTGTTTTTCGTTATTCTAACATTTTATTAACTGAACTATAAATGTTGACCGTACAGTTATTTCCCCAAAATGTTTTTTTTAGCACAATACTGTTGCCAAGAGATCCTATTGTATTTACACGTTCTCCTGAGGTTAAGGTCGATAGGTCTTACATGCGTGAAAAATAAACATTTTACTGTGTTGAGTAAAAACAGTTCATTTTAAGGTGTTCAACATCTAATACTGTGCCTTTCATTATAGATGAAAAAGCGTAAATTATATTTAACATTCCTAAATTCTTGATCTGATTAAACTTAATCTCAGCCAGAATTGAAATAAACAAATAACTTACCGTAACCTGCTAAGTAGTATCGTATTTTGTAGGTTCGCTGAGTTTCAAATATAATGACTATCAACAAATATATATAAACTCCTTCTAGCATCATCCACACAAATGATGCCAAAAAGAAATAGTGTAAAAATCCCGCGATGACAGAGCACACCACCTAGAGTAATATAAGTAAATTATTTAGAATTATCTAAATAATAGTTTTCAGAAAGAAGTAGTGAAAAAAATAATATACTAAATGCAATTAACAAAATGAAACAGGGCTAATAGCAAAAAGCAAATACGGATCTTTAGGTTTTTATCGCCCGCAAAAGAGATTTGAAACCATTCGTATTTGTCTATATAAGGCAGCTAGAGTTTAATAAAGCCTGGATAAATCATTTTGTATCACCTGGTTAAAGTATTAAAATCACATAACATATTTTTCGTATAATGACGAGGTTTATCAATCTGGGGTGGTTTGAAAGCACAGATCTGAAGAAGTTCTAACCAAACAGTCCCCGGTAGGACAATGGTAAGTCTACGGACTTGCAACGCTAAAATCCGAGGTTCGATTCTTCGCGGTGGACACAGCAGATAGCTCAATGTGGCTTTACTATAACACGTACATACACACTCCACCCAAACAACTCTCGTCTTCAACTTAAAATATATGAATGAGAATTCTTAAAACTTAAATTTACTTTTAAAACAACTGAAAGAAGTAGTTAAGAAAGGTATCTTATGCCCTTCACACCAAACATGCTCGTCCTTTCAGCCGTGGGGGCGTTATAATGTGACGGTCAATCCCACTATTGGTTGATAAAAGAATACCCCAAGAGTTGGCGGTGGGTGGTGATGACTAGCTGTTTTCCCTCTAGTCTTACACTGCTAAATTAGGGTCGGCTAGTGCAGATAGCCCTCGTGTAGCTTTGCGCGAAATTCAAAACAAACAAACAAACCAAGTATCTTATGAGACGCCACGAAATAATAGTTAGAACCAGAGATCTCAACTTTGTGGTGGCCAGCTTCGCCAATTATCCACCTCCATACTTATGTGAAGGAACAAATAATAATAATTAGGCTTAGTGTAATATGAAACCATATTACCACAAAGCAAACGAGTTTTTCTAAATATTTGTGCCACACGTAAAAGTTATGCTAGTGTAAACGAAATTTAGAAACCATATATTTATATATAAACTAAATAACAGAACAAACTACAGACTTTTTAACTCTTATACTAAAACAGCGTGGTTTCATTGTTCTATACACAAGGTTTTATCAGTGAAAAGGCTGTAATGTCGAGTTAACGAGAGAACTTGTTATTTCCAAGTCGTTTGTTTTTACTCTTTCTCTGTTTCACCATGCTTAACAGGGAATAGTAGTTTCAGATGTGCAATGTGTAGGCTTGAACATCTATATCTCCTCTTAATTTTAATTTAATTTCACAGATGCCAATTATAAATAAAGTTTTAATGTTATTCCTTTCTCTATATATACATGTGTATACATACACATAGAATTACTTTCATGAAACTCCCTAGAATGCATGTATATACATATACAAAAGCGCGAACTGGTTTGTTGTTCTTTTCCAAAAACTGCTATGTTTTTTACAATTAGGAAGGAAAGCATATAGAGGAAATGTTTACCATGTGCTGGGTTTTGTCTATACCAAACACTAGGAGAAGCTCGCCGATCATCAAACAGATGCACAAATTGAGATGAATTGTGTTCCTCAATCCCCAGAGAGATCTAATTACAATGACATGAAACAAGTATATGATAACAATAGCAATCTGAGGATAGCTCCCGTAGAGGGTTGAAAATAGTGTATTGTTAAACACTAACTTCTACTTTATGGTCATATTAAAGTATAAAAATATAAAATAAATATAAGCTTATTCTATGTACACTTGTCTCACCAACATTCATGAATAAAATAATATCTTTAGTGTAAATGTTAGCAAAGTAGAACTCAAGACGATTTAAATTTAATTTTTTCTGTTGCTATTTTTAAATATAAAATGACGGTAAATTATTACAAAAATTTCAAAAAAGAACTATAAAAATAGAATCGTATGGCATTTAACGACTTTGTTTCATCAGCAACTTTCTTCACATTCATTGGTAATTTTGTACAGCAACTTTAGCCATAGTGACGTCATAGACAAGCCACTGAATTTCGATAAATTTAGGACAATTATTAATGATCTAAATCTATGGATGTATTTAGTAAGAAATGGAATATTATTTTTCATAATTCAATCATATAATATTACAAGCAACAAACGTAAGTTGGTGCTGGTGTTGGTTGTGTAAACAAACATTACTTTCCTATTGTGAAAAACATGCAATAGAAGATATCGCTAGCAACGGACGGACATTGGCTCATTCACTCACATTCAACGTCTAAGAAATAAATTTCAGTTTATCCGTGAACACTATTCGTGTAATAATACAATTTACATTGCCAGTCATGATGTGGCGTAATAAAAGTAAATACCTAATAAATGTAAAGGTGATAATGCATAGTCCTAAACAAATAATGGAAATTGTGCAACATATCGCAGAAATAATCTTCAAGGCCATGTGATTTTCTGCTTGCACACGTCCTTGAATATCCATCAGAATGGCAAAGCTAGTCAGGTGGTCACAGATACAAAGAGTATGAGTCTTGTTGGTGTAAGACACACGACAACCACTGTCGTCCCAGTAACCGCTGGAATGAAAATATAGGAGGAAATGATATATCAAATTGATACACTAACCAATACAATAAAAACTATTCTAAACTGCTGATTACATGAGACAAAATGCTTCATAAAATAGCATTAGTTTTCTAGTGACATACTTATAAACTGCTACGCTAGAATATTTAAATAGATGTTATTTTTGTAAGTTTTATCATTCTAATTGGTGTTTATTTGATCTTAGTAGCTTCAGTTGTGATATTGTATTATATATATTTCCCACAAAACGCGACTACAAGAACGTATGCACTTGAAATGCGCAGTCACAACAACTGAAATAATAAAAAACACACGTCATATGCTGTCTTTACAGTTAGCTCAAACATAACCACCTATTTTTAAAAACTCAAAATTTTGAAAAAACAACGATTATTTTATACACAATTCTATAAAAATGAGACTGTTTCCAGTTTCTAAATTACTAAAATACAATAACTTGCTGTACAGGATAAAAAGTGGTAAAAACCCCCGATGAAACTGGAAAACAATCTCGACGTATACTATTGCGTCATCATTGAAAACATTACTACCTATTGACTCAATTAAGTAGCATAGCATCGTTTAATTCATACCTGTTTATGTAGATATGTATTAATGTAGAGATCCTATAAACAGAGGGTATTCTTAAATTATCATAATCTACATGCAAGTTTGCTATCTTAACAGTTAAATTTATTATGAAATATTTGCTCCCATCAGGAATATATAATCATTCATTTCAATACCAGCTGAAAACTAAATTTTCACAAATATCAGATCACATTATTCCAGTTACTTAGACGGTATATAGATGAGAAACAGATCTGTTTTGGCTTATGGTGATATAATAGATGGGACTGGTCACTGCTGTGTATTCTCATTATGTTTTGTTGTATTTAGACGAAGTTTGGTAAGATCCAAATAACATAGAATGGACCCTACTTATTTCATGTTGAAAATGTGAGAGCTACAACTGCGAAATTCACGTTCAATTTAGTTTGAATTTAGCAATACACATGAAGATATCAGGACTTGGATTTCACTTGTCTTCTAAAGTTAAAACTACCATGTCTCTACCATGTTTCTACACTAAAAACACAAACCACAGTTTATATGTCCTTATTCAATTACAGCTTACCTTATTGGTTGATAGAAACATACTAATATTTCTAAGATATTATCTTAACTTACTTAATCCACCTGTGGTTGAAACGACTACACTTAGACTTGAATACTATGGCTATCTTTTTTTTTAATTACATCTAGAATAAATAGAAATTTCATGCTATTAGGTTCTGCATAACACAGTTTTATGTATGACAGAACATATTAAGTGGTTTTAGCTAATACTGTTTTATTCCCAATTGCAAAGTTTGGAAAGTAGTTTACCCTTCGGCAGAATTCCAAAATGTGCACTGTGGTGATTTGGCGTCGACTTGATCATGTTCCAGCAATATTTTAACTCCAGTCGGTATGAGAATTTGACCTGGAGTTTCCTTTAGACTGACACTGACTACTGGCGAGTTCAAGGTTGTTTTGTTGGTAATATTCAGGTTTGTTCTACTTGAAAAGTGGAGGAAGAAGACAGCTTATTACAAATTTTGTTAAACGAATGTTTGGAATGACTTCCGGTAACTATAAATTAAGAATTTTTTGATTTTAAAAAAATCTGCTTTAGAAAATTCATGTACTATCGGAATGGAAACATCTTAAGTTACAAACAGTAAAGGAATCATTGTTCGGAAAACACTATCAATGAGATTAATGCTCTGAATTACAAGGACTAAAGTAATCAGTGTTTGGAAAACACTATTAATGAGATTAATGCTCTGCATTACAAGGACTAAAGTAATCAGTGTTTGGAAAACACTATTAATGAGATTAATGCTCTGAATTACAAGGACTAAAGTAATCAGTGTTTGGAAAACACTATTAATGAGATTAATGCTCTGAATTACAAGGACTAAAGTAATCAGTGTTTGGAAAACACTATTAATGAGATTGATACCCTGAATTACAAACACTAAAGTAATCAGTGTTTGGAAAACACTATTAATGAGATTAATGCTCTGCATTACAAGGACTAAAGTAATCAGTGTTTGGAAAACACTATTAATGAGATTAATGCTCTGAATTACAAGGACTAAAGTAATCAGTGTTTGGAAAACACTATTAATGAGATTAATGCTCTGAATTACAAACACTAAAGTAATCAGTGTTTGGAAAAGACTATTAATGAGATTGATACCCTGAATACAAACACTAAAGCAATCAGTGTTTGGAAAACACTATTAATGAGATTGATACCCTGAATTACAAACACTAAAGCAATCAGTGTTTGGAAAACACTATTAATGAGATTGATACCCTGAATACAAACACTAAAGCAATCAGTGTTTGGAAAACACTATTAATGAGATTGATACACAGAATTACAAACACTAAAGCAATCACTATTCGGAAAGCACTATCAATGAAATTGTTTCTAATGGTTCAGCAGCTTTCGGTATTTAAACCGTAACTTTTAAAGTATTGTACTGTATATATATAAATAACGTTTCATTGTCTTTCATTGTCCAGTCCAACTGAGGAGTTTTGCTATTGAACAAAATACATCTTGGGCAGTGATTTGTGGGAAACAACAACAAATAAGGAGATCTGAAATGCACTTTTACACGCTTCTGATTTTGAATTCAAAATGCAAACTAAGAGGAATGTGATAAAAAACATTTGCAATTTAGTCGTTTTTTTTTAATCAAAACTTTTAACTTTAGTTTTTAATGCTTCGCTAGCCTTTGGCATTTTAAGCTGTAATGAATATATACAGTACAGAGACACACATCACCAATGTACTTTGCTAAAAACCAGCAAATATGAGAAGAGGTTAAATAACTTTGGAGTCTCACGTGCAAACATTCTACGTCGTGCTAGTTTGTAGTCATCTCCCCATCGTTATTTACTAAAATATTCATGTTTTTTTTTAAACGTATTGAAATGATTGGTACCGTCCTTCTGTATGACTTTTACATTGATAAATTACTGGGAATGTTTTATCTAATAGTTCAGACCCAATATTTAGATTTATTGCCTACAACACTGCCTACATGATTTCAAAAATTGACAACGTATAGCTGATGACCATTTTGGAAGTATTTTTCAAATTAATATTAAAATAGAAATTCCATCTATGATTATATATAGATATGTTTAAATGTATGAAAAGCTAACCATTTAAAATTTCAAAGGTAGAGATAATATGAATGGCAAAGTAATACGAGTCTGTTGTTCTAAGAAGGAATTCTCCATTCAGAGAATCAAATAAAGATTATTATATATTTTATAGTCATTCTAAAATAACGTAATTACTTACAATAAAAGAAGAGTTTTTATGTTGTTTACATTATTTGCTTAAACAACCAATTTTGGACTGAAATATAGACCAATACTGTAATAACCTTTCTCTTTCTTCGAGTATTAAAAAGATAACTTTCAGTATGTTAATATAAATAATTTATTGACTCATCGAATGACGTATCTGCGTTTGATTTATAATATATTTTTATGAATTCACATACAAAAACTTAAAAATATATTTTTTTCTCTCTCTAGCTCCCAAATTAAAAGTAGCTGGTTGTGAAGTCTGTTGGTCATCCTACAGTAAATACCTGCAACATTTATAAGTAGTTGGTTGATACTTTCATGAGATTTTGGGTAATACCCTGTGGTAAATATCATGTGTGTCTAACTGGTACTAGTTATATTTTTAATTTTCTCATTCAGAAACAGCCTTTCTCAATTAAAAATTTTATATACCCCAAATGTAGTCGTTCTTAAGTGCTAAGGGGTATTTTTATGAAATATAATATTTTTCATTTTAAGGAAACTTGGTACATACCTGAAATTTTCTTCAACAGTTAGAATTTGCTTCAAACTACTGCTATACTCAACAAACACCACGTGCGTTTCATTTTTTCTTTCTAAGTACTCCTCAAAGCCACTAGGTAGTGTAACTTGCGTTCGATATTTCTGAGAAGAACGTGTAACTATACCAAGTATTAAATTTTTATGTCGAAAGTGACCTCGTGGACGTCGTAAAACTTGTAAAGCTATTGAAAATAAAATGTGAGTATTTACTTGTTGATGATGAGATGAATTGTTGAGTAATACTTAAAGGCAAAAATAATTTATCAGAAATAAAGATGTATAACAGATAACCACACATATATATTTATAAATGCTATTCCTTTAGATGTCATCATCACAGTTTTAGCAATTATATCAAGTGTGTAAAATGTCTGTGTATTCGACCAATCGAAATGTACTTTTAAAAGTTTAAAAAAATTATATGATAACAAATATCGAGCCATAAACTTATGCATTTAAATATTTTTACTTACTCTGAATATACTTATACTCTTTGGAAAAACTTTTGTGTTCTATTTTATCACAGACCACTAAGCGGACTTTGATATTCATGTTTACATTAACCTGCTTTATAAAGTTTGCGCACTCATAGGCAGTCTTCCGCATCACATATTATCTCTTATCATCTTATCAATTAGACTTTTGAACTCGACGTTTTGAAACATTACAAATATTTTTTTTATTACTCAGACGTCGCTTTTCACCTCACAGTATAGTATTTATAGTGCTGTAGAGGTTTTTATTGTTCTGCGTGTTCTTTTAGGTTATTCGTGAAAAGAAGATTACAAAGTTATTCCGCTTAGTACCAAATAAAGCGTTTTATTTCTTCAATTACCATTTCTACACCAAACTCATCTTATACTCTGATAGGTCACAGTTCATACCAGTCAATAATACACTTTACTTACTAGCTAACTTCTCTCGTATGTTTGACACTTTCTCATATCTCTGTTTCTTCGTCAAAACACAAATTGAATATTAATAAAACTGAACTAGTTGTTTAATTGGTCCACAGCAACAAACGAACTGATTATAAAACTCGCTACGTCAATAATCAATCAATCATCTACTCCAGCCTAACTCATGTCTTATATTTATCAAATCGTTTCCCAAACTTTCTAATAAACTTCCCTCTATCGAAATAGCAATACTAACTTCTAAATAAAAATAGCTTATAGCAGTAATAATTTTATATCAGATTTTTATTTTTTATTAATATATTATAATACGATCCGAACACTGAAACAGTTAAGTGTAATATTTCTGATCCTATAGAAGCGCTATCATGATTTAATTTTTTCTTTTTCTTTTACAAATCCCCCAATGGCAAAGCGGTATGTCTGCAGAGTTACAACGCTAGAATCCGGATTTCGATACCCGTGGTGAGCAGAGCACAGATAGCCTATTGTGTAGCTTTGTGCTTAATTACAAACAAACAAACTTTTACAAACACTTTTCGAAGTATTGATTAAGAAAAATAACAACATCAGATAAATCGTCATCACATTAAGTACTCGTCATCTCTCTGCTTAATATGATGAAATAATGTCGCCACTTACATAAAATAATGAAAAATTTCTTAAAATGATTATCATTGTGGAAACCTGTTAAGAAATAAAACTTTCAAAGCAACTGTTCAATATGATATTCACAATCATATTGATTAAAAAAAAACATCATTCGGCGCGTTTCCTGTCTCAAGTATAACGTTGAGGACAATTGATTATTGTAAGGTATGGGTGTTATTTGGTTGAAAAAGCAAGTCAAATGCCTTTCTTACCTATGTTATCCTTAACAATGAACTTGTTTTCACTGGTCGTTAAGAGAGGTGTTAAGAGATATCCAGCTTTTTCAACAGTAGACAGGAACCTAGTAGCTGCTAGAGTCTTCTTTTTTTTTATTCATTTGAGAAATGAATAGAAAATTGAAATAGCAAGCCTTATTATGCATTCTTATAGAAGTTTTGTAAATAAACCAACTAAAAGAAAACAAAAATTAGCATTTCAGCTCATTCGATGAGTTGTGATACGATTTGAACAGAAAATAGAGTTAAAAATAGGGAACATAATGTGGAAAACAATTTTGTTTTCAATCTAATGACATAAATGTTAACTCAGCGTTTATTTTCTAACTAAAAACGGTATTTACGTATTGTAGTTCAAGTTATATGCTACCAACTTTCGTTTTATAATTGTAAATAAACACAATTCGAACAACAATTACATTAAAATGTTTATAATATATTGTGTGCTTACTGCAATTTATAACTCTATCGTTACACAATCAACGTTAAGTCTAGCTTCATCGTATATTTAACTATAGTAAGCCCATAGTATATTTAAAATTCACATGTCTATTTGCTATATACTTGTCGTAACTGAGTAGAACTGAGAAAGCGAAGGTAATTACAGGACAAAACATCTAAATATTGGAGTTATTTGACATAACACTGACTGCTCAAATATCAGTTATTTCTTTTTTTAGAGACTAAAACTAAAAGTGTTAAACAGCCTAGATGTGTTTTACAACAACTAAGCACCTTTATTTAAACATCATAAAACATCCACATTAATTGATAAGAACTGGGTGTACAGACTGAGAGAAACTAAACTTACATTTGTAGTGTTCTTCCATGCATTATCCATATCTAATAAGTCACTAGAGATGTCTATGACTTTATCTGTGATTGAAATGGCTGTTGTCTTTTTGTTTTTGTTAGACAAATTCTCAGTCTGTTCTTCAAACAACGCTCTGGTTTCATTCAGAATATCAACCACAGTTAAAAGATCCCCTTCCATATTAATACCTCTTTTATCGAGAATTGCATTGATTCCATCTAAAGTTTCTTCCACGTTTTCATTCTTAAACTGAAAGAAGAAACAAAGAGTACAACAAATGCCTGACTGTTCTCATACAGTTTCGTATATTTTAATTTCACTTGAATCTTCAGCTACAATTTTGTCTAAAGAGGCTGAAAAAAAAGTATTTATAATATACATACTCTTATTCATGACTGAAAAACAAATCTCATGGTCATATCATCCATATATATTTTGCCTACAAAGAAAAGTTCTATAGTTATATAAATAAAAATAGAATAATAAATTCATCACTCTATTTAGAAGATAGGTGGATAAGAAATAACTAGCATATGTCTGAAAGTCCAACAATTCATCACTCTATCAAGAACATAGGTGGATAAGAAATAACTAGCATATGTCTGAAAGTCCAACAATTCATCACTCTATCTAGAAGATAGGTGGATAAGAAATAACTAGTACATGACTGAAAGTCCAACAATTTAGCACTCTATATAGAATATAGGTGGATAAGAAATATGACTGAACATATGACTGAAAGACCAACAATTCATCACTATATAGAAAATAGGTGGATAAGAAATGACTAACATGTGACTGAAAGTCCAACAATTCAGCACTCTATCTAGAAGACAGGCGGATAAAAAATAACTAACATATGACTGAAAGTCCAACTATTCATCACTATCTAGAAGATAGGTGGATAAGAAATGACTAACATGTGACTGAAAGTCCAACAATTCATTCCTCTATCTAGAAGATAGGTGGATAAAAATAACTAACATATGACTGAAAGTCCAACAATTCAGCACTCTATCTAGAAGACAGGCGGATAAAAAATAACTAACATATGACTGAAAGTCCAACTATTCATCACTATCTAGAAGATAGGTGGATA